CAGCTATGTCAAGAACGACTACCAAGTCAGAAGCGTGAGCCGCTGATGACGGACCCCCCACCTACTCGAGTGTTTGAAGAAGTTGCTGCAGACATCTTCAGTCACGCTGGGCGATCTTTTTTGGTATATGTCGACAGACTTTCCGGGTGGCCTGTTGTGCATGTGTTCCCAGCGGGTGACACAACCTCAAGGCAGGTCATTCGAGCGTTGCGTCAGAACTTCGTGATGCTCGGTGTTCCCGTAACGCTGCGCTCAGATGGCGGCCCTCAATTCAGCAGCCGAGTCTTCGGAGACTTCGTGCGGAGGTGGGGAGTTAAGCATGTGATGTCATCTCCCCACTTCCCACAGTCCAACGGTTTGGCAGAGTCAGCCGTCAAATCCCTGAAACAGCTCGTTGCAAAAACCACCGTCGACGGTAACTTAGACGATGAGAGGTTTGACCGGGGTCTTTTGGAGTTGCGCAACAGCCCACGTGAGGGCGGCCAGTCTCCAGCCCAAGTGGTTCTGGGTCATCCACTCCGAAGCTGTGTTCCAGCTCATCACCGAAGTTTTGCTCCAGAATGGCAGGCTTCAGCAGCGAAGTGTGATCAGGCGAATGCAGAGAGGCGCCGTAGGACAGAAGAAACCTACAACCGTTCTGCGTCTCCTCTTCTTCCGTTGAAGATCGCCGATGAAGTCCGCCTGCAGAACCCTCTCTCCAGGATGTGGGACCGCACAGGCGTGGTCGTGGGAATCGGTCGTCACAGAGATTACCACATCAAGCTGCCGAGTGGGCGAGTCTGCTGGAGAAACCGACGCTTCATCAGGCCTCTCCATCCATCTCTTCCCGGCGGTCCATCTAACTCGTCCTCCGTCTGTGTTGCGGACGAGGCAATGCCTCCACCACGTCGCAGTGCGCGTGCGCGCCACCCACCGAACAGGTATCGGCCTGCTCCGTGATCTGTGTTATGTCGTACGGTCAATGCCATGTTATGCTGGGGAGATGTTATGCCGTACGTTCAAGAGGACTCTGTGACCTGTTCGCTGTGATGCGTAGTGTCCCGTATTCGTTTACGTGTTTCCGTTTATGTTGGATCACTGTGCTTTGTCTGGGCAGAACGATTTGTTTTTGTTTGTCTCACTACTTGTTAGCTCTCCCATTGCGCCAAGACCGCTGCATTATTCAGTTGCATCGGTCTTGTGGGGGGGGGGGGGAGATGTTATGCGCATAAGCATTGGCGGAGGGAGATTCCTTCGCGTTGGTGTATGTGTGCTGCCATACGCGTCTGTGGCCAGCTGAGCTGGCACTCACTTGAGCTGTGTTGGTCGCGAGAGGAATACACCTGTGTGCGCAAGACGGACGACTCTTCGGATCCCTGAACCGTGAGGACCACTGCACAGATCACAACAGTGCTAACATAAGTGCATAGGCACCTGCTTAAAACGAAGGCGGCGGAGAACAAAACCAGGCCGACAGGGTACGCGACTACTGAACTTTGACCCCGCCCGTGCGCCAGAGACGCCCGTCGCCCTGTGTCGTCGCGCGGTTGTTGAAAGGATGCGCCGAGCGCCGGATGGACAGTCAGATGCTGTTTGATGTGTGTATGGGGGAGGGGGGGGGAGAAAGATACACCTGCTGCAACCACGAGTCTTATCCATGGGACGGGTTAGAATGTTGGCGCTAAGCCTCTGGTAGTGTTCATGGGGGTGGGGCGGGGTGAGAGGAGGCGTGGTGATACGATACGCAATGCTGAATTTATTTTCGTGTCCTTCTGCACACAGTAGGCAAGGGATGTTTGATGTTTCACGCTGGCAGTTGATAAACCCGCGCCCGGCTGGGGGTCCTGGATTTCCACGCCCTGCTGGGGGGGGGGGGGGTGTTTGAACACCCCCCTTCTAACTCGGCTCCTGGGCCACGTAGCGATACGCGGAAGGCGGCGTTCGAAAGAGCGCCAAAAATAATGACAAAATCACTTCGGTCACTTTTTTGGTCAGGTCAAAGGTCAGGTCACCAGAGGTCATTGAAGGCAAAATTTCGCCGATTTTCAGGTCGAATGTCGACAATTTCCAGGAAGCCAGCGCATAACTCGGGAACCAATAGAGCTAAAGCGCCGCGGAAAAGCGCATTCGATAGCCCTATTAACGCCCTTTCTGAAAAATTCTCTCAGATTTGACCTAACGTCAACGGTTTTGCCTGCAGGGGCAAAAACTGCAAAAATAGCCGATTTTTTTTCGGAAACAGTTTTTCTGCAATAATTTTTGACACAAGCCTTGTACGAGCTTCCTTTTACCGGCATCGTGTTCCTCTCGTCAAGACGCATCGAATGAACTATAACTTGACCTTGAAAGGTCAACTTTAAAATTTGACCTCAGGTCAAGGTCATGACCTGACCGGAAAAGGTCATGTTGCATATCAGTCGATCCGTATCGTCGAGGTGAACACATCTAAGGCGTTTTCACCGCTCTAGCATGCCTCTATCAAAAGTTATTTGCGAAAAACTGTTAGACACCATTTGTGACCTGAGATGACTTCAGGGGCATAAATAGGGGTCACGGACACCATTTTCATGTTCAGTGTGTTTAAACCACTTGTAATTCAGTGTTTGGGAGTGTTTATAATGTCTTTCGTCCAAAAGAGGCGCATTTCAATTTTCTCCCATTGACTTATAATGGGGAGGTCGCAAAATTGACCTGACCTTAGTAGGTCACCGATATCAAAATTCTGAGAATATATATTTTATAGATACTGTTACCCTTATCAATCGCTGAATATTTCAAAGCGATCGGTCACTCGGTGTAGCAATGGCAGACATTGAAACTTTTTATGAGGTGAGGTCACTTCAAGTGACCTGGTGACCTGACCTTTAATGACCTTGGTCTGAAATTTTCACAACATGTGTAGAATTGATGTATGATAAGGTTTACCAAAAACGGCGGCGCTCCGCGCCGCCGTTTTTGAGATATTCGCGAAAAACCACAAGGGGGGGGTGTTCAAACACCCCCCCCTCCCCCAGCAGGGCGCGGGTTAATAGGAGATACAGGGAGTGCAACGATAACCGATTGGTAAGACTCATTCTGGTATCGTTGAGATTGAGATAATTGTGTTATGTGTGATTGACGAGATGATGGGTTGCTTTCAAGGTGAAGTAAAATAACAGGTCTTTTGATAAAATGGGCTCATGTTTTGAGCAAAAGCTAAGCACACAGTGACAACAGCACAGACGTGCTTCAATGAAAGAGAATCGGGGTTTGCCTCGAGTCCAACAACGATTGGTGTTTGCCTTGTCGATCGTCGTCCGCCATGTGCGGACAGGAGCGGGTACTGAAATATAAAAAAGAAACCAGCCCACAGTTATCTTTTTAGGACAAATAGTACTAACTCAGTAAAGCTTATCAATATTCACATCAGATTTCGAAACGGGAAACAGCGAAACGATCTTAGGTAGGTACTGTGACGCTAAACAAACAATGGCCTGCTTTTCTCCCCCTGAGAATATCTCAAAGCCACAAAGCTGTATGATGATTCAGTTGATGCTCAAGAAGCGTTCCTGAAAATGTGAATCACCTGGGTGCCTCCGGTTACCCGCCGAAATTGAATGAACTGTGCCTAATTTGGTTGTTGTTACTGTTGCTAAATAGCGTGCGCAACCTCTACACCTGTGCTGGCGCAGCCGATTCTACTTGCGCTATCGTCGAAAATGGAGCGTTTTGCCGCTGTGCCGAAATTGAATGCTTTACCGCCGACTCCCTGACCTGCGCCGAGATATTATGTGATTCTTGTACATAATATTGCGGTATGTGTACACACATTTCGTTAATTCTAAAATTGACGATTACGCACCGAATTTAACTGACAAAAAGTGTAGTGTTTGATGTGCAGTTCATTTGTATGAAGTAATTGTTGAGTGATGACCTTCAACCTTGTATATCATATCTCAACAGACTGTGAAGTGAGAACCATAGTCACTGATGCGGGCTGGTCAGTGGTCAAGCACCACCTAGGCAAGCCACTTATGCAGCTGAAGCAGTCTTTGGGAGGATCTGAAAACCAGGAATTGACTAGGGGAAAGTGGGGTAAGACGGTCAGGGTAGGTAAGACGGGCACCCCTTCTGCAGACCAAACCAATAGCGCTACGAGCAAGAAAAGTTAGGACCAGAATTGCCTTTCCCACTACACACCACCATTCAAGTCTGGTGAATTTGTGTTCAGTCGATAATCTTTTATTTTGATTTCTTTAAAACACTCATTTCATTGAAAACATCCATAATGTATTGTGCAAGCTTTTGTGTACAGCACTATAGAGTTAAAAACTCGCAATCACTTGTGGTACACTCATATGCCAACAGTGTTCATTTACGGCGGATTTGCTTTGTCTGCATCAAATTGTCCACAGCGAAAAATCGTGCTGAACTTCTGACATTGAGTTTGGGGTAAGACGGGCAACTATGAACCCAATGGGTCTGTAATGGTGAAAATATTTTTGTTGCTGTAGGAAAAAAGAAGCATTTCTAATAAGAATATGTTCGATTCCGATACTCACAGACATGTTAGCAATATTCCTTCGGCACAGTTTATTCTCGAATAATGAATGTGAAAAACGGTTCTACATGGCTTCTGAACTAGGGCCTATATAGGAGCATACGCCTTCTGCACGAATCTCGTATACTGCCATTTCCGAAGCACTTGAGACCAACGAGCGACTGTATAAATGCGGCTAATCTCGGGCATTTGTTGCGAGCTGCGCTGATCGGTGAAAGAAGCTGGCCGTCTTGCCCTACCCATGTGACCGTCTTACCCCATGGGGTGGGGTAAGACGGGTTTTTGCAAGGTTTTGCAAAAATAGCTGCAGTTTATTTGTTGAATCAGGTCTAAGTCTCATCTTCTGGCAAATGAAAGTAAAATGTCTGAAAAAGGTTTTCACCCAGTTTCCCGTTTCTATGATGTTTCTAACCGGCCGAAAAATGGCTCCAAAGTTAAGGTGCCCGTCTTACCCCACTTTCCCCTATGTGTTCTGTAACAGTGCTCGAGGCCTCGAGGTGCTGGAGGCCAATGCAGAGCAACTACGCTGTCAGGGACAGCATGTCGGAGAGCAATTCTCTGCTGATAATGAAGAAAGAGATTAAGGTGGAGCTTCCCTCGCCAAGGGTAAGTGAGCACCTATATACAGGGTGTTCCGAAAATAGAGCCTCCCTCTCCCCCCCCCCCCCCCCAACTAAGATCGACTGTATCTTTGCAACTGTGCATCCTACAGCTTTGGAACACCGCTAATTAGAAAATGCATCAAATTGTTTCAGCTAGGCCGTAATTCCGTTATGTATCATGCACAACACGCCCAGCCTTGTGGAAAGCACAATATTGCACAATTCAATACCAAATTTTTGGTGAAACTTGGGTGAAACATGTAGCGGTATCGGCCATCGGCAAGGTATCGGATATGGTGGAAATTTCTTCACATCTGACGGTTATTTCAGTTCATGTGCGTTTATTCATTCTTCGCACCGCCATCGCCGTGTTTCACGGCCTCGCAACACATTTTGTTATGGTCGTTCTCGGTGTAACGACCATAACAATACGTATTCATTCAGAGCCACACTAGGGTAGCCTGTTAGAATTGAAATTGACCGTTCTTTCCAACAAGCGGTCTCTCATTATCGTAGGACATACGATTTTGGAGATATACCTAAACAATTTGACCTAGTACGGGGGCACACTTTAACACCCTGTGTATGGTGTCTGCCTGTCTACTTACTATTGCCTGCTTACGTTCATTATCTCAGGGTACCTTTTTTTGCATGTCTTATGATGCTTTTGGTGTGAGAGGACAGAGGTAATAATCAGGGGTGCGGAGCCGGAGCCGCCGGAGCCGGAGCCGATTTTTTTTTCTCCGAAGCCGGAGCTGTCTGAAATTTCCACGGCTCTGCATCCCTGCGCATAAAATCCGGTTTAGACACACTGAACATGAAAATGGTGTCTGTGACCCCTGTTTATGCCCCTGAGGTCATCTTAGGTCACGAATGGATCTAACAGTTTTTCGCAAATAACTTTTGATAGAGACATGCTAGAGCGATCAAAACGCTTTAGATGTGTTCAGCTCGACGATACGGATCGACTGATATGCAACATGACCCTTTCTGGTCAGGTCATGACCTTGACCTAAGGTCAAATTTTCAAGTTGACCTTTCAAGGTCAAGTTATAGTTCATTCGATGCGTCTTGACGAGAGGAACACGATGCCGGTAAAAGTAAGCTCGTACAAGGCTTGGGTCAAAAGTTATTGCAGAAAAACTGTTTCCGAAAAAAATCGGCTATTTTTGCAGTTTTTGCCCCCTGCAGGCAAAACCGTTGATGTTAGGTCAAATCTGAGAGAATTACTCAGAAAGGGCGTTAATAGGGCTATCGAATGCGCTTTTCCACGGCGCTGTAGCTCTATTGGTTCCCGAGTTATGTGTTGGCTTCTTGGAAATTGTCGACATTTGACCTGGATTTCGGCGAAATTTTGCCTTCAATGACATCTGGTGACCTGACCTTTGACCTGACCAAAAAATTGACCGAAGTGATTTCCTCATTATTTTGACGCTCTTTCGAACGCCGCCTTCCGCGTATCGCTACGTGGTCCAGGAGCCGAGTTAGAAGGGGGGGTGTTCAAACACCCCCCCCCCCCCCAGCAGGGCGTGGAAATCCAGGACCCCCAGCCGGGCGCGGGTTAACACGCGCACCGACGGGGGGGAGCGGATATCCGCCCCCCCCCCCCCTGAGGTTTTCGCGAATAGCAGGAAAACCGGCGGCGCTACGAAATTTGGTACGACTATTCTCTCATCAATTTTACACATGGTGTGCAAGTTTGAACCTCCTAACTTTTAAGGTCAGGTCACCAGGTCACTTTGAATGACCCAACCTCAAGTCACTTATTTTTGCAACTTTGTCACCGTGCCAGAGCTACAGTAGATGTCGGAGGCCTTTGAAAGTCGCAGGATGTTATAAGGTCATTAGTAGCTACAATTTGTTTATCTCGGAATTAAGATATCGGTGACCTAAAGTCAGGTCAATTTCTCGACCTCCCCATTATAAGTCAATGGGGGAAAATCAACTCCCTGTTTTTACCACTAAAACGGGTCGGAATGGCCCCATATACCATACATTACTTCATATACGATCAACCTTCACTACCTTGAGGTCTGTTTTGCTGTTGGGCAGCTGTAAGGTCATGTGACGTCATCAAAGGTCACCAAAGTTTTTTTTTTGCCAATAAGTCCGTACAGGAACAAGATACAGCCGCGCGGATGGTCTCATTGTGTTCAGCTCGTCAAGACGCATCGAATGATATACATGATGACCTGAGGTCAACCTTTGACCTTGACCTTTCGAGGTCAACTTATATATCATTCGATGCTGATTGACGAGGTCACGAGAGGATCACGATGATGCCCTTAGTTTGTTCCTATCTTGACTAATTCGAAAGTTATTCGAGAAAAACTCCATGTCTAGCGCCGCCATTTTGACTTTTTTGACCCCTGTGACGTCATCTTTGACCTGACCTGAAAATGACCTTAGTAAAATTGTAGACCTTGTCCGTGCGTATCCGATGCCGTTTACCGCTTGTCCCTATCTTGCTTCGTTCTCGAAATTCAAGGGGGAGGCGGTCATCCGCCCCCCCCGTCGGTACTAAGTTGGCGCAAACCCCCGTCGGTGCGCGGGTTAACCCGCGCCGGGCCGGTGCTCCGAGACTTCCGTGCCGGGCCGGGGGTGTCTGAACACCCCCCCTTCTAACTCGGCTCCTGGGCCACGTAGCGACACGTGGTAAGCGGCAATCGAAAGAACGTCCAAAATAAGGAAGAAAACACTGCGGTCATTTTTGAGTCAGGTCAAAGGTCAGGTCACCAGAGGTCACCAAAGGTAAAATGTTGGCTCTTTCAACATTTTGGAAACTGCCAACGGCTAACTCTTGAACCACTAGAGCTACAGCGCCGCGGAAAAGCGCATTCGATAGCTCTTTTAGCGCTCTTTCGCCAGCATGTCCTCAGATTTGTTCTCAGGTCAACGATTTAGCCTCCAGAGGGAAACAACTCCAAATATAGCCGTTTTTACGAAGAAGTGTTTTTTTCGGCAATAACTTTTAACTCAAAAGAGCCACGACATTACTTTTGCCAGCATCGTGTTCCTCTCATCGAGACGCTTCGAATGAACTATAATTTTTGAAAGGTCAACTTGAAAATTTGACCTCAGGTCAAGGTCATGACCTGACCGGAAAAGGTCATGTTGCATATCAGTCGATCCGCATTGTCGAGCCGAACACATATAAGGCGTTTTCATCGCTCTAGCATGCCTCTATCAGAAGTTATTAGCGAAAAACTGCTATGAAAAATAAATAAACTGTGCTAAAAACTGCTATTTCTATATGTAGATACTATTCATTTTTAGATACTATTCATGCTATTCATACTATTCATACTATTTATTTACTATTCATTACTATTCATTACTATTCATTTATAGATACTATTCGTGACCTGAGATGGCCTCGGGGACATAAAAAATGGTCACAGGTGCCATTTTCCGGTTCAGTGGGTCAATTTTACCTTTATTCCGATGTTTGAGAGTGTCTAGAATGGCGTTCGTGTAAAAGAGACGTTTTTTTAATTTTCACCCTTTGACTTATAATGGAGAGGCCGCAAAATTGACCTGACCTTAGGTCACCGATATCAAAATTCCAAGATGTACGTTTTATAGATACTGTTACTCTTATCGATCGCTGAAAGTTTCAAGGCAATCGTTCAGTCGGTGTAGCTATGACGAACATTCTATTTTTTTCTTCTAATTTTGGTGAGCTGACTTTGAGCGACCTTGGTCTGAAATTTTCACAACATGTGCGGAAAAGATGCACAAACAGGTGTACCAAAAACGGCGGCGGTCGTTTTGGAGATACCTGCGAAAAATCGCAGGGGGGGGGGTGTTCAAACACCCCCCCCCCCCGGCCCGGCGCGGGTTAAAGGTAATGTGAAGGCATGATCAGACCACAGTATTTTAGCAATGACTTTTGACACATGCCTGGGAAAGCGTTGGGAACGCCTTGAATGCGTTTACATTCAGAGAACGGCCAGCTCGCCTCTTTTAGTGGAAGGCACGTTTCTTGTGACTGAAAAAGATATCTGCTCGTTCTAGGCTGAGCGGCCGTCGTCTCCGTCGATGTCGGACGACGATCCGTTGTCGGACCGAGCTGTGCGGTCTCTAGTGAAGGAGGAGAAGGTCAGGTCGCCGTCGCCGTCGCCGCCGGAGGAGGAGATGGTCAGGTCTCGGTCGCCGTCACCGTCGGAGGACTTCATCGGGTTCACTGAGGTGGACCGTGACAGGTGAGGACTGAGTCTGCCGTCTGCCGTGTCTGCCGTCTGGCAAGGCTAAATTTGTTATTTCGTTGCATAATATACCCCAATTAATCAATTAATTTATGTTAACTAAAGTAAGCATGCATCCATGACCGAAGTTATGAACATGCCAATGTTTTTGTTCATTTTTTTCCTGTAAATTATCTTTTAAGATATGGTTTGGTGCATACTGCATAAGTCACGTTCCTGAAGCCAGCAATTGTATTTTTCAGTGCTCATTTCGCCTCCATTGCAAAAACAACTATGCTGTTGGGGCGCGTGCCGGACTCTCAGGACATAAAACAAAGTAAGTATTGAGATTGAAAGTGTATCGCAAGTTTCGTGTTTGCCTCATAATACAATTAGCCTATTATGTTTGTCTAATTGTATACGTGCGCACGTGCAGGATGACGACCTATTTCGCGAAGGACCGAGCCTATTGCGCTAAAATTTGGTTTGTCATTAGTGACCGTTCAGTAGGGTGGCCCGTCGGCTAGTCGGCTAGGGATACGATTTCGCACTTTTGAAAGTGCGTAAGTGCGCTCACTTTCGCGCCCGCTCGTTAGTCGCCCTCTAAGACGTCTTATTGGTATATAAGAGGTCAGTTTTACCAACATAAAATCGACCACCCGTTTTTTTTTTTTTGCCTAACCCACGACGCAAATGCGATTTCCCCGTTCTAGTACGCACCTGAGGGAGTGGTTGCCGCCCCTTGCGCTGGTGTTGATGGTTCAATGATAGGTGGAGGGTAAAACTGGCTTAAGTCCTAAATCAAGATGGCAAAGCTCGCAAGATTCATTGCCGACGCAAGATATTGGGAATTGGTCATTTTGGTCGTGACGTTAAAATGTTAAATTATCCTTGCTGTTTTCTTCTAAGGTAGATTGGGCAAGAGAGGAAACAATGTGCCTCGCCACCAACTGAGTTAACTCGCGCATGACTGGGGTATTTTCCATAACGCGGCTGACTCCGGGGGGGGGGGGGGGCTCTACAGAGCCTCCCTCCTATCTCCGAAACTACTGGACCGATCGTCTAAATTTAAAGGTGTCTGATAGCGCTGGAAAAACTTTCCAGTGAAACTTAAATTCATTGACTTCCAGGTCACTGATGACGTCATAGCTCAGGTCAAAGTAAAAAGTATCGCGTATAACTAGGCTATTTTGAAGATATCAGACTAAAACTTCCTAGAGTAGATCATTTGTATGTGTTCTATCACATATCAACGCGTTTTTTCCAAACCCCACATCTGTTCTCCCGCGAATTTCCGGGAAGCACAAAAGATCCCTTTTTAAAAGTGTCCAATCATCCGATCCTGATCGAATACGTGTGTTCGCGAGCTTGTTCTGGCATTGGTTGATCTGCCAAGACATACAAACTTGAGAAAAATCGAGTGACTACTGACTGTACCTTTCTTAAAAGTTTCTATCCAACTTGTCGGAAATTCACAGGAGAACAGACGTTTGGTTTGAAAAAAAAATAAAACGCGTCGATATACTCCTTTTTTGGAAAAGTTAAATTTTAGGGAAAGAAATCACGAATATATATATTTTTTTAGATTTTGTACGTAAAAGTTTCAAAATTTTCCTCATTTTGTAAATCCGAGATAGCAGTTTCACAGCCCTGAGTATTTTGAGTCCTCTCATGCACAGAAATTGGATCTATCTTAAAAACTGAGCTCTTGAAAACGATTGCCGTAGTTCAATGTTTTGCATCAGAATCGGCCGACATGACGTAACCCTGACGTCATTTCTAGCCGATCTATTGTGGCATTAAATTTTCCTTTAGACACGAGGTGTCAAATTGATGTAGCCGAAGTTACTGCAAGTTTCGTGTTGCTACGTCCAGCGGTTTAGAAGATATTGCAGGAAAAGGAGTGGGACTCTGTGGAGCCCCCCCCCCCCCCAGTCATGCTTGGGTTAAAGGAATAGGTTCACCTTGAAAAAGTTCAGTGGATGATTCCAAAATACTTTAAAATAGATGATAATACCTGAACAGGTGGTTGCATGCCATCAATTGGCCGAATTTTGATGAAAACAACGAAAAACTATAGTCATAAGAATAACGTAATTTACGGTAAAGAGTAAAGACGTCATATACAACACAAAGCCAGATGGTGTGAATGTAGCGAACTACAAGTCGCTACAGGTTATGGTGAACCATGTGCTACAGACAGTTAGGGGGCGCAAGTTTCGATAATTGCGTATGCATTTCGAATGTGTATTGCGCTTAGTTATCTACCTACCCTGTAAAGTGACATTGTTCTATATTAAATAGCTCATAAGATACAAGATAAAGTAATTATACAATTGAATAGCATATGGCAAATTTATTAGGCGAATCGGTTCACCTTAACTTGAAATCTAGTCTTTTCGTGGCAACGTCATATACATCTGGTCATATCTGGTAAAGACCTTGGGGCTTGGCGTTCTGGTAAAGACCACCTAAATTCCTCTCTGGTGTTGTCAAATTATATTTTTGAGACGAATGGCTCCGGATTACGTGGTTTTAGCACATAACGAACAAAACTGCTATCTCAACTCCATTTCCCATGTTAGACATGAACATGTCCCTTTAATCACTTGTTGTCTACTGCCTGACCTCCGCGCGCCAGGCACTCGGATTTGATCCGTATGGCCATAGACCTCTGTGAACCATTTACAGAGACATGCAGAGGTCTATGGTCTGGCATACGATTGCTGCTGCCGCGTAGGTCGGTCGGAGTCGTCTGTGCTTAGCGTGTCCTCAAACCGGACACATTAAGACGACTTGTGCTGACCTGGCTCAGGACCTCCAGAGTAAATGCCTTTGAGTGTAACATATCCTTTGTTTATTTTTTAGCATCACCTATAACTTATATAATTTACACTTACCGCTCGTAACAGTGTGTCGCAACATGTACAGGTGACGGGTGAATGTTACTTTCGTGGTTTACTCACCTTTTTAAGTGCATATCAATTCTTTCCACAGTATTTTCCGAAGGAGGTTTTGGCAGAGGTCAGAGCCTCGCTATAAACTACCGACAAGTGGACGGTCTTGATGATGATAACATATGTAAGTACTAAGTATCATTTCGCATCCAATAGGATATGTTTTATTCTTGCACCTTCGATATAATAATCGCTTGTTCGTGTTACAGTCATTCTGTTATCGACGTTACTCCAGAAAAAGACATTATAGCGTCGCAGTAACCTATTTAAAGTTTCTTCGAGTTCTCAAATTGCCGCCTGTTTTGGCATTGCCATGCATTTTGAAAGTGTTAAAACGGCAATAGTTTCGCCGGTAAGGGCTTACATTTCGACTATTCACTCTCCCTCCAAAAAGAAATACTTAATCGATACTCGTTCTGTCAAGTTTTGCTTTTTTTATTCCTAATGGTCCTTTCCTCAAGGTTATTTTCACGCCTAGAGATTCCTAAGCCTCTAGGTTAATTCATTGAGTTTCCTACCACCTTCTCAAAGGTAAACTGGGTCAAATCGGCATAAGAGCGGCAGTGCTCCCCGAACGACGTTTGGCAACCCTACCGGGGAAAACGGAGTCATTTTTTATGTAGACGTGTCACAGTTTCAATTCACCAGATCCATAGAAGTGATGCAATTAAAACATACACGAGATGTTTATGAAGAACCGTTGTTTTGTCTTCCGACAGTTTGTGAAGTGTGCTGCCGTGAGTGGGAAGGAGACTGTCCGGTCCATGGACCGCTGAAGGTCATACCAGATACCAAGGTAAGGGTCAGTCAACTTATTTTTTTTTTTTTTTTGCATTTTTGCGTGTGTTAACCCTTGCCCGTATAAGGAGAACGGGAGGTGGAGGCGAACGGACCTCCCCCTCGGTTTTTCGCGAATAACTGGCGTAAAAAGAGGGCGATTGCGACAAAACTTTCAGTACCCTCGAGATGATCAATTTTACACCTACTCTGAAAATTTCATGACCCCCGGACCCAAATGACTTTGACCTGTGACCTATTTCTCGAGACCATGTTTGGCCGGAATCGCGATTCGGCGTATGTCGGCTCGCATTAGCCGCGCGTTTGTAGTGTTTTCGGGGTTACAAGCGTTCAAACATGTGATATGAATGATGTTGGTCCCATGCATTAGGGTGGGTGTCAAGGTCACCTGAAGGTCAGGTCCGGTCATTGACCTTTGGTGACCTTGGTTCACTTTTTCGAGTTTTACATGTTTCTAGGCTAGTGTTTGAAGCTAAATTCGAATTAAGCAACCATTTGAACATTTACGAAGTAGTTTTGGTGCCTTCGTAACATGTTACGAAGCTGTCAGAGGCGGTTGACACTACTACGAATACGCGGCAGGACCCCTACTAGTTACATGACCTGACCCGACCTGGCCTAAATGCACCAAGACGTCATCTTTGATCAAAACTTACATGATATTCGTGATCAGCACCCCGAAAAACCACTACAGCCCACTTAACGACGTTCTAACAGGTTCCGATTTTCCGTACTTTTGGGTCATTGACCTGACCATGAAGGTCAACCAATGACCTACTGTTAACGCCAGACCCCTTGAGACCCTAATTTTTCGCGATTATTTCTAAATGCGTGGAGGAATTTTAACCAAGCTCAGGACATGGCCGTTTCAAGACCTGCCGAAACTTTTACAATTTAGATAGTTTATCGCCATTTCAATATTTCAGGCACTTGTCATTGACTAGTAATGTTAAATTTCAAGCAAGATTTTCACCCGGTGTGTAGAGGCTATCACCAGTCAGTCTGTGATACGTTATGACGTCACAGCTAAGCCCCGCCTCTGTGGTCTTGGCCTGCGGCGGTTTCGGGCCGGCGCGCGGTCACTTTCGCTGTGGCGGGGAGCGGGGACGGTCGAGCGGTGCTGAAAGCCGGCGGAGTTGTGCGTAGCGTGTTGGCTGACAGTGCCCAGAGAGCGACATGATGACTGAGGAGCCATAAATGCTCAATGCGCATTGCTTGTACAATGCTGATATGTTCGCTGATATTTGTTTTATTTTCCTATAAGCTGCAAATGACGGGCAGATGGCATATAACTGACATAAGGTTAGGAAATATTCACCTGTATTTAAAGCCTATGGCGTTGCAGATAATGCGATAATGGGGTGTCGGATGTCATCAAGCTGCTGCCGATTTGTACATCGCTATGCAACCATCGAACAACGCAATAATAAGTTTATTGCCTTCGCTTCACATCATAAGGCTCGCTCGTATTTCAAACAGATACCCTACATCGAAAATCTTATTTGTTAATTGTTAGGAATCGTTAACGTTTGTTCGAAGCACGTGTGAGTAGTAGGTTGAGGAGTGATGGTCCTCTTGGTCCTATACAGGGTGTCCGGAAAGTCCTGGCGCTTTTCAACATTGTTAAGATAAATGCCTTTGGTCCATAGATACTCAACAATAGAACGAAACAATGACCAGGAACACCAAGCCACATCCTTCTGCTAAGTGCCCATTCATTGTAACCACCGTCTGTGCCGACGACGGCCTCGACGCAAGGGCGGAAACGCCTGCGGGTTTTGACGGTGCAGGACATTTCCTGTCCTCCCATGCTGTCATGATGCGAGTGTTCAGGGACTCCAGGCTGGGATGAGAGGTGGCCTAGAGCTTATTCTGCAAAACGCGTAGCATGCCTTAGTCGAGCGGGTTAAGGCTGGGATAATAAGGTGGCCTAATCTCATTTCACCACGGTGATCTGGTCCGCCGAGCTCCTCTGTCAGTTTGGTTTGGACGGCAGCGGCGTTGTTGGAGGGCGCTCCGTGCTGTTGAAGTGCGACATGACCCTTAGGGCAAGTCGCCTTGATTGTCGTGTCCAGGAACCCCTCGTGGACCAGCCTATCAGTCATTTATTTGACCTTGACGAAGATGATGGGACATTTGTGTCCATCAGACCCAAGATTTTCTTCGATTGCCGCTGAAATGCTGGTTCAGTCTCAGCAGCTTTGGCATACCGTGGTTGTAGCTGAGTGAGAATATTTTCTAAGACATTTCCGATCTGGAGTGCACCTTTGCCTGCTCAACCGTTCGCCGGGAAACGCCGCATCGCGTTGCAACTCGCGCCTCGTTCAAGCCGCACCGGGCCCCCGCGCGCGGGCTCTCAGCGACAAGGCGCATCTTCGCCCATATACCTAGCACTGAAAACGGTTTCAAGGTCATATTTACGCGACCCCTAGCTGAGCGGTGAACGAGGGGTCATATCTGCGGTGATTGGTTGAAAGTCCAATAATCACAGCGCGCGTTAGACGACGTCCAAAAGAGGCGCCAGAACTTTCCGGACACCCTGTATACAAGAGTCAACAAGAGCGTAACATTTACTTGACCGTCTGCTGCAATTGATTCATAGCACGTGAAGCGTCAGCGAAATTCATAGTCCTTTACAGATGGCAGGGGTGTTGTTTGTACAGAGGTCGCTGATGGGCACGGGTCAATGCCGCAGTCGTGGGCGGAGCCTAATGTCATATGACGTAGAAAGCCTCTATCCAGGATGGAAAAACAGTTAACATTACGAGTCAATGACAAGTGCCACAAATATTTAAGTGACAACAAAATGTATTTGAAGAAAAGTTTCGACAGGTCTTGAAACAGCTACTTCCTAAATATGGTTGAAATTATTCCACGCATTTAAAAATGGGGAATATTTGTTTCTGGTCCCTAAAAAGCTGTTTCTGGCACCTAATTGCTGATCAGCCCCAAAATGCTTACTCGACCCTAATATCTGAATCTGGCACCTAATTGCTTCCACACAGCCTAAAGTTGCCAGATCGTCTAGTTGAACTCCGTATTTGCTGTTTGCTGATTCAGCACCAAAACCAAAACATCCAGCACCTATTTTATTCCACGTTTGCCTACCTAATTCGCGTAATCTTCCTGATTTTATGTATCCTAACAAACATGAACGTTGCATTCGGTGATGTCAAGTGCCATTTTCGCCAGTGGAGATAACGACCAGTATAACGCCTTATGGGGCGACTAACGGAGCGAGCGAGGGGGTGAGTCTTGCACGTGCGAAATTTCGAGGGGGTACCTCCAACTGACTTGTGCACGGCACCCTACTAACCGGTCTCTAGCGATGTGCCAAATTTGGGCACAATCGGCCCAGCCGTTCTCGAGATCTGGAAGCGGCACCCTGCACGTGCGCACGTGCAAAATGGGTCCCAACTGACTTGTACACGGCACCCTACTAACCGGTCCCAAACTGTGTACCAAATTTGAGCGCAATCGGTCGAGCCGTTCTCGAGATCTGGAAACGACCCCTGCACGTGCGCACGTGCAGCAGCACCCCAACTCTGGCACATGGATATGCAGTGCCTAGTGGGTGCCTACCTACATGCCAACTTTCAGCGTAATCGGCCAAGTAGTTACCGAGATATTGCAACAATTGCAAAACTGACACCTCTTCGTTTTGCACGTGGCACGTGCATAAGGGGTCACCCACATGCATCGGGAATAGTCCAATACTTGGTAGAAGGAATGAAGCTACCCTACAAAAATTACCGCATGTAAATCGGTCAAGTGGTTGCTGAGATATAAGCCTCGCAAAAGCGTCCGCACGGCCGGCCGGCCGGCCGGCCGGCCGGCCGGCCGGCCGCTCATACTCAGAAATTTCCGTTATTCTACGTAAGACTCCGCTCGCTTCGCTCGCTCCGTAATTAATGCCATTTCTAGCCAAAAGAGAATCACTAGCCAGCTATGGTGCAGCATAGCAAGACGCTCCTATACCAGCCCGCTATGTAGAGATTATTGCACCCTCAGCCATTTTAACGTGGAAAGTTTGGATCCGTCACTTCCAGCCAGGCTCTCAGGTCATAAACTGGAGTAAAGCAAAATGTCAACTCTGAACAGACATGCCACGCAACCGGCCCTCTTTTCAATAGCTTTCTGCAATCATCGTCTGACTCCATCTCGATCAAACGCAGCATCCGGTTTCTACAGGGGCGTTTGACTGACCGGCCACACAATAACCAAAAACAAAATCAAAGCTTCATGCACACATAAGTAAGAAACGGATGAAAAAGGCACAACCACGGCACAACTCTGCGCGGCAAACAACGGACAATGTCCCACGCAAGATCTCGCGTTTCTTCAGCGGCCTTGAACGGAATGAAAACATTACATTTATTTTTTGGAGCTATTTGATGACATCAAAAAATGCAATACCCGTTTTAATGGTGAAAATCGAGACAATTACTCACAAAAATGTTTCCCTTTAAGCATTACAAATGAATACTTTTAAATATTTAAATGACATTGTTTTTTCGAACAAATCAATATTATTTGCTTACTTAAACGTCATATACAATGCTGAGATCACTACGGGGCTGTCTTAGAGTGTAGCTGCACTGGCAACCTTTAGGCTATACTCCAGGGGTCATTATACTAGAACAACATGATTCTACCAGCCAGTAGTTCATTTTTCTACTAGATTGGTGCTACGCTCAGCATTTAGGTGCCAGATTCAGAAAAAAAAGTAAGGCGTACCGATGAATAGGAGCCAGAAACAGCTAATTAAGGTCATTTTCCATGATTGGTGCTGGTATCCACCAAATAGGTGCTGAGGACCAATTTTGGGGCGAGTCAGCTTTTAGGTGCCAGAAATAGCTTTTCTGGGACGCAATTAAATGGCGTCCTTTAAAAATAATCGCGAAAAATAGGGTCTCAAGGGGTCTGGCGTTAACAGTAGAACCTTAAAATCGGGTATCATTGGCTTCCTCTCGTCACGGGCAGCACGCTCGTTTTTTTCGCGAAGCTCCAGCTCGATAAGGGGCGAAACGGCAGGGGGGTAGGTACAACGGACCCCCATCCCACTTATACTTTGACGGCTGGCAAAACACCAATACGGGCGAGGGTTAAGCATGTTGGAAAAGAGATGCCGCGCATGGCGATTATCACATTACATTTTTACCGACATGTTATTAGTTTTAGTGTTTCATGAAAGCAGCAGTTCGTCTTCAGTATTTTGTCAGCGAATGTCTTACTGGGGCCGATTAGGTAACGGCCCTAGTAACTGTAGTTTATCTATATTATAAATTATAACATGTCCGTGCGTGCGTGTGTCATGCCTTATGTGTCTTATTGCGCCTGAAAGGCGCCGCGTATCGGCGTGAAATTTGGCATGCCGAATCTGTGGGCGTGGGCGGCCTTTGTATTAAAATTTGGGCGTGATCGGGCCAGGGGTGCGCCGTCAGCACGTGCAAAAGGGCGCTCTCATAGGGATAGCATGGCGTCGGCGAGAGCGGCGGTCGGCCGAAAATCGGGCCGACACGGCTCGCTTTCCGGCTTGATATCTCTGCAACGGGTGATTGCAGCGTGAAGCGGTTGCCACCAATGGATAGAGGAGAGATGGAACTAGCGTATTGATATGGTTTCATAGTATAGCACGCGTCACGTGCAAGACAGCACCCCCGGTTGTGAAAACATGACCGATTTCGTGCATTGTGACGGGAAAATCGATGCCGCTGGAAAACGGCTTGACGGAATGAAATCGGTGTTGTATCATTTTACAAACAAATGTACGTGTTATGATAGGAAAGCAAATAAAAAGTGATGATCCTTACCATTTCTTTAATAATGAAAGATTTATTTGAAAATTTAATTCGCGCGGAGCGCGGTGTCCTTTACAACATCAAAACGTATTGAAAACGCTGATCAATGGCCATGAAACCTACAGATTCGGAAAGAGCATTCCTTTCTGACCATTATCCACCCAAAATATTATCGAAAAGTCAATAAACGTTTGTGAAAATGACTCAAACATACGACCGTGTTTTGTTAACGTTACAGGTATTTTTCGACAAAATCCGATCGATAGCTTATGGCCGGCAGGTCATACAACTTTTCACAATAGCTATCAAAGCATGGGCTGCAATGCACCACCCGTAAAGGGGAATTCCAAACACTGAAAATAAGCGCCTACCAATAAACAGCACATTATTGTACTAGGAACAACTCAGCTACTACTGGGCCGATTGCGCTGAAACTTGGACTGTGGGTGGAGGGGGTACTCATCTGGCGATGCATGGTCATGTGTGACAGGTAGGGTGGATCGATTGCACGTGCGCACGTGAGGGGTCCACTTATACATCTCAAGAGCGGCTGGGCCGATTTCGCTCAAATTTTGTACACCGTTAGGAACAATTTAGAAAGGTGGCTGGCACAAGTCATCTAGAGTCTCAGTTAGCGCGTGCGCACGTGCAGCGGGCCGCTTTTATATCTCAAGAGCGGCTGGGCCGATTGCGCTCAAATTTGGTACATTACTTTAATCGAGTATGAGAAGGGTAACTACGTGTAGGTTATGAGTAAGGTAGGGTGTGGGTTGGGTAGGGTAGGGTAGGGTAGGGTAGAGTAGGGTAGGGTAGAGGTAGGGTATGTATATTTGTAGGTTAGGGCAGGGTTTTTAGCGGCGTTTCCGGTGGCATTTACAGCGTTTCCGATTGGCGGTGTTTGGGCGTGCGATGCGGGCGGTTTTCTTTTTTTGAGGTTATATTTTTTCATACAAATAAAAATATAACCTCATGCGTCAAACTAATGGTCCCATGAACAATAGCCATCGAAACGTACAGTTATCGCGTGTATCCATCCATCCATCCTGGGTACGGTAGGGTATTGTAGTGTATGTTAAGTTTGAGTGCATAAGGGCCCAACATCCGAAAGACTCAAACAACCTCGGGTAATCAGCACCAGCATACGATACAGTTCAATTAAAACCAAATGTCAAACTTCACCTAGCTCATACAAATAAAAATATAACCGCATACACCCAAACTAATGCCCCCGTTAAACATATCTATCAAAACGCACAGTTATAGCGCAAAACATGCCATCTAGCCTATCTAGCCTATCTAGCCTATATTATGATTTATAACATGTCTGTACGTCCATCCGTGTGTCATGACTTATGTGTCTTAATGCGCCTGAAAGGCGCCGCGTATCGGCGTGAAATTTGGCATGCCGAATCTGTGGGCGTGGGCGGCCTTGGTATTAAAATTTGGGCGTGATCGGGCCAGGGGTGCGCCGTCAGCACGCGCTCGCGTGCGCCATAGGGTTAACACGGGAAACGGTCAAATCGAAGATCGGGCGAAAACCGGCCTGCGGCGCTCGCTTTCCGGCTTGATATCTCGGCAATGGGTGGTCGCAGCGAGAAGCGGTTGCCACCAATGGATAGAGGAGAGATGGGCCTAGCGTATTGATATGGTTTCATAGTATAGCACGCGCCACGTGCAAGACAGCACCCCCGGTTGTCAAAAAATGACCGATTTCGTGCATTGCGAAGGAAAAATCGATGCTGCTGGAAAACGATTTGACGGAATGAAGTTGGTGTGGTACCATTTTGCAGACAAATGTACGTGTAATGATAAGAAAGCAAATAAAAAGTGATGATCAGTACCATTTCCTTAATAATGAAACATTAATTGGAAAATTTGATTCGCGCGGAGCGCGATGTCCTTTACAACATCAAAACATATTGAAAACGCTGACCAATGGCTATGAAACCTACATATTCGGAAAGAGCATTCTTTTCTGACCAATATCCACCCAAAATATTATCGAAAAGTCAATAAACTTTCGTGAAAATGACTCGAGCATGCGACCGTGTTTTGTTAACGTTACACGTATTTTCCGACGAAATCGGGTCGTGGCTTCGGCAGGCAGGCCCAGGCAGGCCATTGAACCTTTGACAACAAACGGTAGCGGAGGCACCTCTCGCCAGGGGAATTCGCAAGTAAATAAAATAATTTTATTCTTGCAATAACTCAGCCGCTACCGGGCCGATTGTGCTGAATTTTGGGACTGTCGACGGGCACATATCGAACGACACATTACCATATGTAGGGTGCTAAATGTTAATGCACCTGCACACCTGGAAAGGAGCAGTTTCCTATCTCAAGAACGGCTGGGCCAATTTCTCTCAAACTTGATACACACTACAGAACCCGTAAAATCAATTAAATACCATACAGTTATCGCGCAAACATGGCCATCTAGTTTTGTATGATTTATGTGTTACTCTTGAGTATATAAATGGTAGTGTACTATATAGGTATATGGAGCGGAGAATTTTAGAGCCTTCGTGCTTTTTTCTTATATTATATCTTTCGCCAATCGGCCACGCGTGCCGGTTTCCACGAGCGATTGTTCTCTCCATCTTTTCCTGATTTGAGACTGTTGTGAGATAGGCGCCAAGGCGCCCAGGGGAGGCACTCTTTCTTTGGCTAGGGACTTAAGCCCCCAAAAGCCCCTCCCCTAGATCCGCCCCTGCGGTGGATCCATCAAGCCCGACTGAGGAAGGGCTGCTTAATTCGAGAGCCACGGGACCAATTGACCTGGGGATGGATGAGGATATCAGATGGTACACTCATGGTACAGTGATATCAAATTTAGCAGCCCATCCTGAGTCAGGCTTGATGGATCCACAGCACCGATACGCGGTACCTACTTTCAACTTGAAAGTATCGCGCATCGCTGTCTTTCAAGACATCGGCGCAGTCTTGAAAGTTCCATGACTGACTGAACAGTGAACACTCTTCTATTCCAGGCCCGACCGGGTATTGGTGATCCTGAAAGGGACCTCAAGACTATACCTCAGTCTCTCAGCTCGGGTTTGTCAAGAATTCCCGGATCTAACACCGGTAAACTATGTTGACATAAACAACCAGCTTTTGAGTATCTGGTGTTGCATCAAATCACAATGTAGCTTGGATAAATATTTTAACTAATTAACATTTATTTCATGTTTTCCATGCCTTATCTGACAATTCTCGGTCGAAGTAATCTTTGAAATGACTATTTTACATGTACGTAATGCCAATTCATGGTATTCTTATTGGCTATATATATATATATATATATATATATATATATATATATATATATATATATATATATATATATATATATATATATATATATATATATATATATATAGGCTATATTCTTATTATCATCGACGTCTAAGAAGTGCATTCATCTAATTTCAGGAGTATGGACTGAAAGGGACGTTCCGGCTCGAGTACGATTCGGTCCCTACGATGGCACGATTACCACCGGCCAGCGTCAGGCCAAAACCACGGGATACAGTTGGGAGGTCAGTTTTGGTATGGATGGTGGACAACGCGAAGCAGAGGGCGGTCTCAGCAGTACATCGGAAAATGAAAAGCGATAATGTGAACACATCTATTGCACAAACCGGTTTCGATATTACTTCATCAGTGTGCAACTATATAAATAAAACACAAAATACAAAACGAAGACGAAATAGGTACAGCAGAACAAATTATTTTCAAATACTTTCATATGACCTCATCCTGTTTGTGTGTAAATTCCAAAGCTGGTGACATACGATTGGGAAAAAGTTTAGCCGTTCTTTTGGTGCGGAAGCGTCTTGGGATCTCAATCACATGAGGTCATATGAAAGTAATTGAAAATAATTTGTTCTGCTCATTGACCTATAATAAGATAAGTACTACTTATTATAGGTCAATGGTTCTGCTGTACCTATTTCGTCTCCGTTTTGTATTTTTTGTTTTATTTATATAGTTGCACACTGATGAAGTAATATCGAAACCGGTTTGTGCAATATATGTGTTCACATTATCGCTTTTCACAAACGTCAAACTGTCATACCACATATCGGAAAATATTGGTACCCCGGCCCGGCTATATAGCGCCATAGCGCTAAACAAGCGCTTTGTGGGCGCTTGTTTTCCGGACGGAACTCTGCCGATATCATGCGGTATTCACTGGAAGTTAACTTAAAAATCCCCCCCATCTGCCGTTATTATCTTGGCGAGGTCATGTGTTGTGTATTTAACTATTTACATTTATTTTTCTATTCTCATTGCGGCGCCGTGTTTCACAGATCATGAAAGGTCCCAGCGTGCATCACTCAGTCAACGCCGAGGACTCCAGCTGCAGCAACTGGCTGAGAAGAGTCAACTGTGCCCGCTCTGAGGAAGAACAAAATCTAACTGCCTTCCAGCACAAGGGTCTCGTTTACTTCAGGTATTTATAGTCCATCGTAAAAGGAGCGATTTGTATTTCTTAACCCGCGCCCCGTAGGGCTATCGGCGGACCCTACTACCCGTAGGGTGGGGGCCGTTTCGCCCCCCGTAATATCTCGGAAAGTTACCGGCCGATCCTCAAAATTCAAACGGTGTTCGATAGCCCTACCGGGGAACTACCTTGTGACCCGCTTTCATTGACCTCGGTCAAACTGATGACGTCACAGGTCAGGTCAAAGGTCGCATTTTCACCGTTTACAAGTACTCCAACAAATGTGTTGTAAAATCGAGTAAAAGGAATGTTAACCGAAAATCATCGATGGGGAATTGTTCGTGAAACACATATTTTGCCATTTCAAGTCACTGATACCAGGTCAGGTCACAGAGGTCAGGTTATTGAGGGTCACAATATGAAAGTGTCGTGTGATACATGTTTAATGGTCCATTTTACATTATAAATGTGATTATGTGGCTCAGGCGACCTTTGGGGCCAGTTTAGGTTATGTTCTGGTGAAGGTCGAGTCAAGGTCGGGTCAAATTAGTTCAAAGTTCAAAGTTGATATTTTTGCATAAAATGGGTATCGATTCGATGCAGATCGTCACGGGAAGTGTAATATTGGTCCTTGTTTTGCGCTACGTGGTCTAGAATTGATAAAAATTGAGTTTGAAAATTTGACGTCAATTTTGAACAGTTATTTCGCTATAACATGGAAATCATTTTCCACTCTCACCTCCAGTTTTCAAGCCCAATTTTCCACTCCCAATTCCACCGAGAAGGAGTAATTGCGTGAATGGTTGTTTGCATCTGTCACAATTGTAGATAGATTAATGTTTTTGATCATTTTCCCACTCTGACACCCAAGCCCTTTCACCTTTCCTTTTCACCCCTGACACCTTTCCCTCTGACACCCAAGCAAAAATAAGATTTTGGGACACTGTAACTTGGCAATAAAAGAGGTATTAATCTCAAATTTGTTATGTGGATAGAAAACGATAGTGACTATCGTATAAATTTCGTTTTTTTCGAAATTCGAAAAACTTGCGATTTTTTTGTTATTATATAAATACTTTTTAATTTTTAGGGGTCAAAATCCAAAAAGTTTTGAAAATCCGAGATAGCGGTTTTATAGGTACCCTGTTAATTACGAGCGAGCGAGCGCAGCGAGCGAGCGAGTTCATATTGAATTAAGGAAAAATCCTGAGTATGAGCGGTCGGCCGGCCGGCCGTGAGGGCGCTCTTCAAAAGGTAATATCTTAGGAACGGGACATCCGATTGACAAGCGGTCTTCTTTACTGAATGTCACTTGGACGTAAAAGTTCTGTGGTGTGATTGCCACCATGCGTTCTTGCCAACCACCGCACGTGGCGCGTGGTAAAGTTGGACATTTTTTAAGAACCCCCAAAATTGCAACCACAATAACGGCACAACGGTTGGGCCGATTGAATTGAAACTCGGTACACAGTTAGGTCTCCATCAGATAATTAATCTGCATGTGTTAAGGTTGGGGTGCTACTGCACGTGCGCACGTGCAGGGGCCTCCCAGATCTTGAGAACGGCTGGGCCGATTGCGCTCAAATTTGGTACACTGTTGGGACCAGGCCGTTTTGCGTTCAAATTTGGCACACCGCTAGCGACCGGTTAGAAGGGTGCTTTGCACAAGCCCGTTGGAAGTACCCTCTCGCCCTTCCGCACGTGCAGGGCTCACTATCTCGCTCGCTCGTTCTTCGCCCAAAAGGCTTTTTACTGGTTCTACACTTTTATGTCAAGAACATTTTTCTTTAATTTCACGGCTGAGGCCTGACAGCTCTTCCCGCGAAACCTTTTTTTGGTCGAAAGTGGCAGAACATGACGTCATTCTGACGTCATTTGTTGCTAACCTATCAAAGCCTCTGGACAAATTTTAATCACAATGTGTAAAATTGATGCCCGGAGAGGTCCTGAAACTTTTAGGCTCCACCAATTTTTCAGTTTGAAACTGAAAGTTCACCAAACTTTCAGGCTGAAAGTTTGGTGACGATATCAGTCGTTTCAGGGTTATCTACGGAAAAGAACAGGGGGCCGTTTCTTCCCTCCCCCTTACAGGGCGCGGGTTAAAGGGATATGTTCACCTTGAAAAATTGAAGTGGATGATTCCAAAACACTTTAACCCGCGAGTTGCTGGGGGGGGGTGGCGTTAAACGCCCCCACTTTTTTTCGCCGGGCCATAGAATAAAAACGGCGCGCCGCGCCAAAATTTGGGTACCTGTAGGGAATTGATTGAAGTTTATTGTGACAAAGTTTCAAAAAAAATCGGTCGGAAAATTTTTGAGATATCGAGGTTTTAGTGACGTCATGATTTCTGAGTTTTCGACCAAAAACTGCATATGTTCAAAAAATCATATAAAATCACAGAATAGACATACAGACATGCCGTAAACGCCATTAGACTGCCAATACCATGAACAATCAAATGGCTATCTTCGATTATTGATTATCGTTCCTCATTTTCCAAAATCTTGAACGGAATCTTGGCAATTTCTCGTGACTGCTTCACGACGATGATACATGCATTTCTTAAATTGAAGTTTTTAAGCCAAACACGTACACATATGGTAAAATGAATGTCACCATCGTGTTCTACGCCGCAAATTACCCATAAAACATGTGTCACAGGCTGCGAATATCAGTTTGGATTTTCGGGGATATGTGCCTACCCGGTTGACCTGACCTTGACCCTGACCTATGCTTGATTGACCCCTACATGGAGCTGACCTCTTGTAGGCCTTATATGATGGATTGTGCACCGTTTTGACAGAGTTTATGACGATAGGCGCCCATTGCGAAGTCCTGAAATCCATGCTACTGAAAGCCCGATTTCAGGTGTTTGACCTGACCTTGACCCGACATGTGACCTCAAAATTAAACTTTAAAGTACTCATCTGAAGCGTCTCGTCGCGTTCTTTCGTTTGCCGCCTTGTGCGTTTCGCTGCGCCTATTGGTTCTCGAGTTATCGGCTGGCCCCCCCCCCCCCCAGCAAACGGTGGGTGGCGAAATACCCCAGCAACTGCCGGGTTAACCCGCGCATGAGTGTGGGGAGGAGGGGTTCTAAACCATTTGACGGATCAACACGAAACTTGCGGTACCCTCAGCGGCATGAATTTGACACCTTGTGTTAAAATTGCAACTTTCTAGCTACCATAGTTTAGCCGGAAATGTCTTTGTGACGTCATGTCGGCCGATTTTGATGCAAAATATTAAATTACGGCAAACGCTCTCAAGAGCTCAGGTTTAAAGCTAGATTCAATTTCTTTGCATGAGTGGACTACAAATATACGTAGCTATCAAACTGCAATCTCGATTTTCAAAATGTTGAAAATTTTGAAAAATAGGTATTTACAATTACAACAAATGTATTTTTGATTTTTTCAAAAAGTTTTTGATTTTTCGCAAAAACCGGAATATATGTTATAGAATGCTCCTTGATGAACTACACTAGCAAGTTTTAGCCCAATATCTTCAAAAATAGCCAAGTTATTCGCATTATTGTCAAAATTTTACAGTTTTTTTTCAAATCCATTTTTCAGTACGTTTTGACGTCGTACAGCAATATAAATGGCACCATCGTGTTCCTGAGCTCAAACTGCATCTGATAGGCACCTTTTTGTTGAAAAATTTCATTTTCAAAATTGACCTTTTCTGACCTGAAAGTGACCTGACCTCCGGTAAATGCAGCTGAAAATGACCTCAAATGACACAGACGACATTATTTTCGAAATCTACGAGTAAAATGGACCATAAAACATGCGGCACATGATCGACCGATACATGATATACAATTTTCGTGACCTAGAATAACCTGGCCTTGACCTGAATAATTCGAAGTAAAAGTTCGGTACCCTCAGGGTATCTAAGGCATCTATCAAGGTGTGCGTAAACCAAAAATGAGCATGATCGGACTTGGCAGCCGACGGTCAGAGCCTAAATTGTCAACTAGCAAAAATGTCGATAATTTTTACTTTGACCTGACCTGTGACGTCATCGGTGACCTCGAGGTCGATGAAAATGGGTTTCGCTCGACAGTTTTTCCAGGGCTATCAGACACCGTTTGAATTTTGACAATCGGCCCAGTAGTTTCGTAGATGGGAGGGGGGGGGCTCTGGAGAGCCCCCCCCCCCCCCCAGTCACTCGCGTTATGGAAAATACCCCAGTCATGCGCGGGTTAAAATGGATAATAATACCTGAATAGGTGGTTGCATGCCATTAATTAGCTGAATTTTGATGAAAACAACGAAGAACTATATTCAAAATGATGACTTAATTTATGGCAAGGACGTCATAAACAGCACAAAACCACCTGGGCTCAATCTTATAAACGCCGTGGAATGGATATGGCAGCACTGGCTGAAGTTAAGCTGCAGAAAACGGCTATTAAATGCAAGATGGTTTTCACGCATTTCAGTCCATCGTATGTTGACAGTCCAAAGAATCGTTTCGTTGACTCGGATAACGGTTTTTTCGGCACTTGTGTCACTGTCGATGTTACCAAATGCCGTAAATAGAATAGTACGTCATTTTGGTGTGCATATAGCGAACTAAAAGTCGCTACAAGTTATTGTGAATCATGTGCTACAGACCGTTATGGCGCGTAAGTTTCAATAATTGCGCATGCGTTTCGAAGGTGTATTGCGTTTCGTTATCTACCTACCCTGTAAATTGAAATTTTTGTATCTTAATTAGCTCATAAGATACAAGATAAAGTGACTATACAATTGAATAGCATGTGGCGAATGTATTAGGCTAATCGGTTCACCTTAACTTGAAATCTAGTCTTCGTGGCAACGTCATACACATTTGGTCATATCTGGTAAAGACCTTGGCGGTCTGGTAAAGACCATCGAAATTGCTCTCTAGTGTTGTCAAATTATATTTTTGAGACGAACGGCTCCAGATTACGAGGTTTTAGCATATATCGAACAAAACTGCTATCTCAACTCCATTTCCCATGTTAGACATGAACATGTCCCTTTAACCCTCGCCTGTATACAGGGTGTCCCAAAATTAATGTCACACCTGTTACGAGATGTACAGGTACTATATTCCACACTTTTGTGCACAGTTATCGCCGGTGATCAAATCATCGGTGGGAGAAAGTACATAGATATCTTTGTACTTCACGAGACAAAATTCAAGGATCATTTCAAAGACCGAACAACTTTCACTTTCAATCTAGGTCTCGCAATCTACAATCTAGGACAGTGTTTGGCAGGTCCTCCGGTGTCGTGCCCCCTTTTCGGGCGCCAGGCAGGGCCATTACCCCCACCTGCCAGACCGCATTGCATACACAACCAAGTTTATTGAAATGCCATACCTTTCCGTGATACTTTGGGTATTTCGGGCATTATTAGGTAAAAAGCGTCGTATCACGACAAAATTGTACCCTCGAGCCGATCATTGTTTTCTGTCATAAAATATTTCATATAATGACACAAATAACCATTGACTTGTTAGTTGTTTCTTGAGATCATGATAGGTCATAAAATCTCAATTCTAGAAGTAACAGCGGGTCCCGATCTTCTCCACAATTGTATGTCATTGACCTCTTAAAACTCTTAAAGCTAGAACTTCGCGGAAAAAAACGGGCGTATTGCCCGTGACGAGACGAAGCTGATGATACCCAATTTTAAGGTCCTAGGTCATTGGTTGACCTTCCAGGTCAACCAATGACCAGCTTCCAGGTCAAGGTCCAGGTCCAGCTTCCAGGTCATGTCAACGACCAAAAAAGTCAGGAAAATTGAGACCTGTCAGAACTTTGTAGTGAGGTTGTTGTGGGGTTTTCGGGGTACTGATCACGAATTTTATCTAAGTTTTGATCACAGATGATGTCTTCATGCATTTAGGTCGGGTCAGGTGAGGTCAGGTCAGGTCAACCAGTAAGGGTTTTGCCGGGTATTCGTAGAAGGTGGCAACCGCCTCAGACAGCTTCGCAACATGTTACGAAGGCACCAATATTACTTAGTCGTAAATGTTAAAATGGTTGCGAAATTCGAAATCAGCTTCAATGTATAAGATTGATCAACTCGTACTGAAAATTTCGTCGTGATCGGCCGCTTTTTGCGCGAGCTATTCGCGAGAAAAAGAGGAAAAGGGGGTCCTTCTATAAGTGCGAAGGTTACAATTGGGTAGCAGCGGTTTCCTATCGTCACGGGTAGCACGCTCGTTTTTCTACCGCAAAGCTCCAGTTCAGAGGCCGAGAGGCTGGGGTCCAATCGGCCCCTCCCCGTTTACGTTAGCTGCTATGAAAACGCCAATAGAGGGGCGACGGTCAGCGTTCGACCTGGACCTATCTTTGAACCCTGGGACCAAACAGTTGTGATTCTGTCCCATCAAGGGAGCCATTAATTCTAAGATGAGGCTTTCTGATAGGCCCCCATTGCCCCCCGCCGAGGGGCTCCATTATCCCCAAAGGGGACATGCCCCACCATTTGCCGACCCCTGATCTAGGTTGTTCAATGTACAATCTAGGATGTACAATCTAGGTTCAATCTAGGATCGTTTTCTACCCAGTCCAGGCTATAACCCTGTCTTTTCTTTTCCCTAGTTCCCAACTAGTTCCACACATTCCGTCTCAAAACTCAGGCTCCAAAAATTCAACGCTCGTGATTTGAAGCGTTACTAAAGGAAATCGGTCTTCCATTTTATAATCCGCAATAACATCCTTACACAGCCTTGATTTTGTCTGCTACGGTGCAATGTCAACATAATTTCGCCGGTACTGGCTCCTAAACCACATTGGTTACATTCTAGTCACGTAACCTTCGAATTTTGTGACCCTGACCGGTCAGGGCATGAACTGAAGTCATTTACGGAGCAGCACCCAGTGCGCGCGTACAGGTGTCCAGGATGGCAAAGCCAGGGGTGGAGATCTGTCAAAATGTCAGGGGGGGGGTCCAGGCCGGGCAGATGGAGGCGGGCTGGATGCAGTACCATTGACTTACATAGCAGTAATTTGTTTTCAGGGGGGTCCTGACCCCCCCAACCCCCCGAGATCTCCACCTGTGGGCAAAGCAGCAGAGCAAATCGACCCGCAGCCGGGCTGTCGGCATGGTTGCCGACGGCATGACCCACGGCGTCGCCGAGGCACTGGGCGTGAGTCGCCGCACGATTTGGCGCTGGTTGTCACGCGACAGAGGCGGACAGATGCTTGAGAACAAGCCGGGTCGCGACAGGAATAGGTCCGTCAACCGGGTAGCGTAAATTGTCATCACGAAGCGCGGTGCTAAAGACTGGTCAATCCACAAGGCACAAAGAAACTATCAAGGCGGCTGACTGCCAATGGTCATCCAGTCTCCCAAGTGGACAATCCATCGGTGTCTGAGGATGTCTCTGAAGCTGAAGCCCATCAAACCGCGTCTCCATCCTAAAACTTCTGCTGAACATGTCCAGGGCCATCTATAACAGGACGGCGCCCCGGCTCATCAAGGTGCAATGCAACGATGCAGGAGTGGTGTCGATCGCACTTCACGGCATTCTGGGAGAAAGACAAGTGGCCGTGGAAAAGTCCCGACCTGTCGCCGATAGAAAATCTGGGGGGTTTCGTCCGGAAAGAGATGAACAAAATGGCGCAGAAACATCTGAAATCACGCTGACCAGAGAGGCTCGATCTGCCTGGTTCAAGATCAGTCTGCAGAAGCTGGACCAGTTGATTTCTGTAGTGCCGGACCGTATACTTGCCTGTATTAGAGAAAGAAGAGGATACATATGCAAGAAGAGCGCAACCCTCATGTTTGTTATACTCATGCAATGGACGCTGGAAAGGTGTGACATTATTTTTGGGACACCCTGTAGGGGGGGGAGGGGGTCGAACGGACTCCCTCGGTTTTTCTCGAATAACTTGTGTAAAAGTGGTCGATCGTGACGAAACTTTCAGTACTCTCGCGTTAATCAATTTTACGCCTACCCTGAAAATTTCATGACCCTGACCCAAATGATCTTTGACCTGTGACCTACTTTTCGAGACCACGTTTGGCCGGAATCGCGATTCGGCGTATGTTTGCTTGCATTAGCCGCCCGTTTGCAGTCTTTTCGTGGTTTCAAGCGTTCAAACATGTGATATGATGTTGGTCCCATGCAGTAGGGTGGGTGTCAAGGTCACCTGAAGGTCAGGCCAGGTGATTGGCCTTTGATGACCTCGGTTCACTTTTTCGAGTTTTACATGTTTCTAGGCTAGTTTTTTTTAACTGAATTCGAATTTAGTAACCATTTGAACATTTACGAAGTAGTTTTGGTGCCTTCGTAACATATTACGAAGCTGTCAGACGAAGCTGCCTTGACACCTACTACGAATACCCAGCACGACCCCAACCTGACCTGATCCGAACTGGCCTAAATGCATGAAGGCAGCAGCTGTGAAGTTTTTAACAGGTCCCGATTTTTCCGACTTTTGGGTCATTGGCCTGACCTGGAAGGTCGACCAATGACCTAGGACCTTAAAATTGGGTATAATCGGCTTACTCTAGTCACGGGCAACACGCTCGTTTTTTTCCGCGAAGCTCTAGCTCAATCAGGGGCGAAACGGCAAGGGGGTCCAATGGATCCCCCCCCCCCCCCTTATACGGTCGTGGCGAGCAAAACACCAGTACGGGCGAGGGTTAGAAACCAATTAACGCCCAATGATTCAAAGTTATTATTATTGTTTATGAGCTACTACAACACTCACTAACCATCCTATTTTTTCAGCATTTCATTCTCGACCCCTTTTTTTACTGGCAACATTTTTGACCAACGGGCTTAATAAACACTGCGACATCGACATTTTCCCTTTCAGCCAGTTGCGCTATTGAAACCAATGCATTAAGTTACCAGGCCTGGACTAACATTGTGTTATGCCCAGTCTGGCTGGTTTTTAGTGGTGTCATGTCTACATCATAAACGATTACCCATTTATTGCCTTTCAGGACGTCGAAGCCCATCCCGCGGGGCTCAGAGCTTCTGGTGTACTACGGAGACGACTCGGCCCGGGAGCTGACCGTCCACTCTGAGACGTCTGGGGAGTCTGTGACTTCCTCTCCGGCCGGACCGTCATCCTCAGGTCAGTGCATTGTTGGTGGCCCCAAAGGTCGTGGCACACTAAGGAAAGCCCCTATTTGTTTGGTTCGACCGGCCTTGGTTAACCCTTCTTCCGATCATCCACTGCGTGCTTATTCGGCTGGGTTAGATGCAAGCAGGGCTGCTGCCTGCTCTCATGGAGATTAGGGGTAAATCGAAGCACTGCACACAGCCGCTATTGGAGTTCGGAAGTGGCCAAAATGCGATAACTCGTTAACCAGTTGACATTTTGCCAAGCAATTTTTATTGTATGTGAAGTCAACCGTAAGGTCACATATGGGAACGTATGAGCATCCATGCTGATACATCATTGCCGTAAAAAAATATTTTTGCTTGTAATCCGCGGATGACGGGTATATCCCATAACGTGGGTGACTCGGGAGGGGATTCTGCATAGCTTCCCTGCTGTCTTCGAAACTACTCGTTCAATACTAAAAGTTCAAACGGCTTCTGATAGGAATAGCTGACAAACGAAACCTAACTTTGTCACAAAAGGTCATGGAAAGGTCATGGGTCACAAAAGGTCATGGAAAAGGTCATGGAAGGAAATGTATACATTTTTTAAGGTCATGCGACGCATCTTTAATGGTCCATTTTGGCAAAAGCATCTAAAAATTATGTCATCTGGGTCGTCCGATTCGAAACTATTTCCATTCGACAAATGAAGGTCAGGTCACGGCGAGGTCAGAAAGGCCAAATTTTGAAGTTGAACATTATCAACAAAAAAGATGTGCATCGGATGCAATTTGAGCTGTGGAACACGATGATGCTATTCGTTTTGGTTTTCGATGTCAAGAACGTACTGAAATTGCCTTTGAAATTTCGAAAATTGTGATTAACCGACTACGGTAAAATGCAAAAGCCGATAACATTGCCATTTCTGAAGATATCTGACTGAAACTTTCCAAAAGCAATGCAAATGTTACACACAAAAGCCAATAAGGTTCATTCTGTTCGATGGCTGCTCCCCAAAACTCTGAATGTTATCAACCTGCTTGGACTTGCTTGGAGTGAGTGAAACCTGGCTGAGTCCGTCTGTCGATGACAGTTTTCTCATATTCCCTGGGTATAAGGTGATACGACGCGACCGAGGTGGTGACCGAAGGGGAGGGGGAGTGTGCGTGCTGTACCGAGAGTCTCTGAGAGTGGAGGTGCTGACAGTTCCTAGCACCGGCTCGCCGCTGGAGTCACTCTGGCTGAGCTTGTGTAGCACTACTACAGTGGTAATAGGTATCATGTACCGACCGCCTAGCGCGCCCGTGACTGCTGTGTTAGACGACCTGCAGAGTCAGTTAGCGCATGTATGCGGTACCGATAAACCCCTGTATGTGCTTGGCGATGTTAATTTCGATTGGCTGCGGCTGGCTGAGCTTGACGTCCGGCGATACTCTCAGGTATTAGAGGACGTAAACGTTAAGCAGCTAGTGTCGGTTCCGACACGCCCCGTGTCGGGGACGGCGCTCGACCACGTCATCGTCCGAGCATCAGACGCTGTTACGACAGCGACCGTCGTTCCATGCAGCTGGAGCGACCACGACATCGTCATCGCCGAGACACCACTCACAAAGGAGCGCCGACGACCGGCCGAGATCACCGTGCGATCTACCCGATCTCTCGTGCCGGACTCGCTGTGTATGGAGCTGCTCCTGTCAGACTGGGACGCGGTGTACAGCGCGGCCGAGCCGGCGGCTAAGTGGCAGGCCTGGCTGGCGGTGTGGACGCCCGTGCTCGACCGTCACATGCCAGTCGTCACCATCAGGCCGCGGCACCCACCCTGCCCCTGGCTAACCGATAATGAGGAGGTGCGTGCACTGATGCGGGAGAGGGACCTGGCCCGCGCAGCACAGCGGGACAACCCGACACCGGAGACGACGGGCGACTACAGGCGGTGCCGTAACGGCGTAAAGCAGGCTATCGGCCGCGCTAAAGCCAACTTCTTCGCCTCATCGTACCGCTACGCACGCAAAACGACATGGAAAGATATCCGCCGGTTTCTGATCGCGCCGAAGGGAGGACTGACGCCTACTGACGCGGCGGGGGTCGAGGCCGGCTGGGCCGACAGACTGAATGGATATTTCGCGTCTGTGGGGCCGAGAGTCGCGGCGGAGTTAGAGGCGACCCAGCGCGACTCGGAGCCCCTCCCCCCGCGCCCGCCGCGCGTGGTGGCCGGTGCCTACCGGGTGAGACCAGCCACGCTGCCGGAACTCTCCGCGGCGCTGGGCAGGATGTCGTCGTCGAAGGCATGTGGAGAGGACGGAGTGACTATCGGCATGTTACGCATGACTTGGTCTGTGATCGCACCACATGTACTCGAGGTTGTGAACGCGTCACTTGTGTCGGGTGTACTACCAGGAGAATGGAAGCGTGCCACAGTTGTCCCCATCCATAAGTCCGGGAGCACTTCGGAACCTAACAACTACCGGCCTGTGTCTATTCTTCCGGTGGTAGCAAAATTAGTAGAAAGTGTCGTCAGCTCCCAGCTATTGGAGTATTTGATAGCACACTCGGTTCTCACTGATGTTCAGCATGGTTTTCGGCCGGGGCGCAGCACAGAGTCAGCGATGCTGGACACGGTAGGATACCTCATGGACGGCATGGATAAGGGATATATAGGGTGCCTAACAACAGCTGACACATCAAAAGCTTTTGATAGTGTGCAACATTCCAGACTGCTAGAGAAACTTGCCTGGTATGGCATTCAGGACCACTGGTTCAGTAACTGGCTTGAAAATCGTTTTCAGAGGACTAGGGGAGGGGAAACACTGCTAGAAATCACTCATGGGGTAATCCAGGGATCATTAATCGGGCCAATCTTGTTTTTAATTTTTACAAACGATTTACCGTCATACCTTGAGGATAGCAAAATTGTAATGTACGCCGACGACGTGCAGTTTCTCCATCAGGGTCAACCGCGTCACATTTTGGATCTCCAGCAGAGAGTGGAACACACGGTCAACACAGCTCACCGATGGTTCACTGCAAACAGCCTAAAAATTAATCCTACAAAAACAGATCTGGTGTTAATTAAGTCCAAAAGGCGTCAACTGAACCATAACTTCACGATCAATTTCGGCAATGCTGAAATTCCTCTGTCACCCGCTGTCAAAGTTCTCGGTATGACACTGGACAGTAATCTGTCATTTGACGCTCAGGTGTCAACCGTTATTCGTCGCTGTTATGCTACCATGGGAGGTCTCGCAAAATTGGCGCGGTCTCTCCCGGAGGAGGTGAAGAAAATGATAATCGAATCTTTAGTTTTTCCCCATTTAGTTTATTGCATGTCAGTCTGGGCCGGATGTGGGACAACTCAGAGGCAGCGTATTCAAAAGGTTATCAACCACTGTGCGCAGATAGTGAAGGGTGTTCCGCGATCTGCCCATGTATCGGCGATACTGAGTGAATTGAGCTGGCCGAACGTGGATGTTTTGGTGGCTGAGCGTGACATGGCCATGATGCACAGCATACTGTATAACGACCAAGCGCCGGCCAGTCTGCGTGAGCGCGTTGTGTATCGCGACACTGTGTCAGTGCGAGACACGAGAGCGACCGATGCCGGTCAGCTGCAGTTGCCGCGAGTCCGCACCGAGCACGCTCGGAAGTTTTTCAACTCCCGAGCCGCGGCACAGTGGAACAGCGCGCCCGCAGAGATCAGGGAAGCTAGCACCGCCGCAAAGTGTCGCAGAATGGCTAGAGATCATTTTACTAGAACCGATTAGATGGTGAGCATGATATGTGATAGCGCTCTTTTAAAGGTGTATATATTTTTTTAGAGTTTTTAATGTCGCTTTGTTTTAACTCGACCATGTTTTAACTATACATAGTTCAATCGTCTGTGTTCCTGTGTACTGACGCAAAGACGTAAGAGCCACGGTGAGTGGAAGTCTTTAAGAAATAAATGATGAATGATGATGATGATGAACCATATCGGACATTCTTACGATGTTCTGTTGGCTGGATGTCTTTTTGCTTTATTGAATTTGATCAGACTACATTCAGTTAAGACGACGTACATTTATTGGTCACCAGAAAGTATACCCACAAGTCAATCGACAATCGACAACCAACAAATGCAATCGACACGAGCGTCGAGCACCCCTCAGCACAAGCAACTGCCGGGAGCGATTAGACGGACCGCGCTCCTCTCTCGCAGCTGATTGGTCAGCTGCCGAACCGTACCTACGGACGTCAGCTGCACGGCCGCCGCCCGGCCGACCTGATCGGGGTCGGCCGGGCGGCGACCTAGCGTCACTAAAACTGCAATAACTTTTGCCGGCAGTGTGATGCCGACCTAATTTTTTCAGCAAATGAATAACAATTGTACGTTATATGTTATGGACGTTGTCTCGATGTGAAGCACGCTGTGCGTTTTTTGGTAGGCCTATGTAAATATTGAAATCCTCAAGCCCTTCTGCTTTGTGCAAGTGTGCAACAATTAGCTTACTATAACTGAGTGGGAGGTTTTTTAGATGCACTTTTGTTACCAATGGATTCCGCACATTTTTCCCTTTCAGCTGATATCTTACTTACGCATGTTCAAGCAAAGAATATGACAGGAGACTCGTCAACATTTACATGAAAATCGCAGCACAAGTTCGGTCTCACGGAGCAAAACAAAACGGTGTACTTTGGGAGCCCACCAATCTGTGCCAGAATGAGTAATATATTTTCTGGATGATATTTTATACAGTCTGATCAATTTACGACCAGAAAATGTGAGAAAATCACGCTTTAAAATTTGTCGAAAATTAGGATATTGGCCACTTCTGAACCTAGATAGCGGCTGTGTGCACTGGGCTGTATCCACAAACTGTAACTGAATTTGGATAACGATCCTCGACCCGCGAATTGACCACGCCGTACCATCCGTGCATTTGTACGAGTATATGAATCGGCAGGGCCCGTGCAGTGGAGTGAGCGCTGTCCCCACAGTTCGGGTCGCTCCATTCCGCTGAACTCTGTAAATAAAGAGCGACGGAAGCAAATGTAACACCCAGAGATAAATGTATAAATGCCCATCCCATACCTATCTTAACATCTTTATGGTGCCACCCGCATGGTGTCGACAAACAAAACACAAATGAATACCAGCCGATTTTGGCCGGGTTCTATAGTCTGAACAAAGCCTGAATACCGCTCATTGTTCGGCTCTAAAACGACTCTTTCAGTTTGCTTCATCACCAGACACATTCATACGTTCATCACAACCGGTAAAACATCAAAACAGAGTATGGTGGGCGCACAAGGTGTGTATCTCCGGCCCCATCTTCTTCAAGGACCGTTCCCTGGCGACGGGTCCTCCATCGGTTATTCAGCTCGCTGCAGCATCGCTGTGTCAACACCATCAACCATCGGTGATTTTGGCATGATTGGCCCTGTGCGACATGTCCTGAAGACCCTGCAAAGTCTCCGAGAGTGTACTGGAGGCTGGGTAATATCCAACAGTGCCTCAATCTCATGACCTCATTGCAGTCTCCTGGCATCATACCCTCAGATTTCTTTCCGTGGGAACACATACGGGCGGTTGTCGAGGGTAAATCACAGAGCGTGGAAGAGCTCAAACATGAGCTGCCCGAGCAAATATAAGCGACCTCTCCCCGGAGGCCTGAGGCCAGTTTTATCAAAAATTATCCGACGTCCGCCAAAAAAGCAGACGGAAAAAATAGGCGCCGCGCGGCCACAAGTTTCACACAAAATATCATCTCGACATTGGACGAAAACTAGTTTACACTGATTGTCAGCTGATATTAGTGACTTCATACTTCAAGAAGCCCCGTCAAATAAACAGGGAGGGGGTGCTCAGCCTTCCTATCCCCTCCCCTGGTTTCTGTGACTATGCCTGCTCAAATGCTCAGCAAGGTTTATAAACGCACCAGCTCTTACCACACACATATGGACCTACACTGCACAAGGGAGCGGCCGTACGGCTGCTCGTTCTGCCCAGCACGGTTCACTCAACGTACCAATCTCAAAAGACACATTCGAAGGCACCCATTGTAGCAGCCCTACTCATACTCCATCTATCTGGCACGGTTCACCTTACGATCGCTGATCAACAGAAACATGTGGACTCCCGCTGGCCAGTTTTTCTTCTCTGTACGAAAAGCGGCTTGAGCTGGCGGCATGGAATTTGTTGACATTTTCGTTATGAGTTTAGGGTTTCCACTTGAGATCTTGTGGGACCAGGGTTCCTTGTAATATGCAGTTGGTTGTAAGATCCATTGGTATCACTGATATCACTCACATATCAATTTGTAGCGTCAATCAATATATGTAAATGTGTTCTCCAGGTATTGCTGGCACTCTTCATGGTCCCCACTGCGACTTCAACTGTTTGGAACGACATCGCCTGGACAGACGCTTGAAGACACGGCACGGCCAAATAGGCATGAATGGCAGATACAAGTGCAAGTGGTGTTCTTACGTCACCGACCACTCCGGCAGCATGACGCGGCACCGAAGGACTCACGCGGAAGAACGACCGTACCGCTGTGAAGTGTGCGGCAAAACGTTTGCTCAACAAGTCGGTCTGACCGCTCACCGTCGTGTGCACACCGGTCAGAGTCCGTGCAAGTGTGATATCTGTGGGAAGGTGTTCACACGGCCCGGTGCCCTGACGATGCACAGACGTGTCCACGCTGGCGAGAAGGTCCGGCAGTGTGAACAGTCTGGTGCCGTGTGTTCAGCTATATCTAACGACAGAGAACACGGGACACCTCGTATTCATGTGAAGCCCCACCAGTGCCCCAAATGTTCGGCCAGTTTTGATAAACGTGCACATCTCATTGTGCACATGGGGACCCACGCGGAGGAGAAATCGTACGTCTGCTCCATTTGCTCAGCACAGTTCTTTTTTCGGTCACGGCTCATGGAGCACACGCGGACTCATACAGGGGAGAAACCGTTTGGCTGCTCCATTTGCCCGGTACGGTTCACTCGGCGTCCAAGCCTCACCATTCACATGCGAACCCACACAGGGGAGAAGCCGTTTGGCTGCTCCATTTGCCCGGCACGGTTCACTGAGCAGTCAAACCTCACTGTACACATGCGAACCCATACAGGAGAGAAGCCGTTTGGCTGCTCCATTTGCCAGGCACGATTTGCTCAGCGGTCAGCCCTCATCAATCACATGCGTATCCATACAGGGGAGAAGCCGTATGGCTGCTCTATTTGCCAGGCACGATTCACTGAGCGGCGGCATCTCACCGTACACATGCGAACCCATACAGGAGAGAAGCCGTTTGGCTGCTCCATTTGCCCGGCACGGTTTGCTATTCGCTCAAATCTCACCAGACACATGCGGACCCACACAGGGGAGAAGCCGTTTGGCTGCACCGTTTGCCCGGCACGGTTCACTGAGCAGTCAAACCTCACTGTACACATGCGAACCCATACAGGAGAGAAGCCATTTGGCTGCTCCATTTGCCAGGCACGATTTGCTCAGCGGTCAGCCCTCATCAATCACATGCGTATCCATACAGGGGAGAAGCCGTATGGCTGCTCTATTTGCCCGGCACGGTTCACTGAGCGGTCAAGCCTCACTGTACACATGCGAACCCATACAGGAGAGAAGCCGTTTGGCTGCTCCATTTGCCAGGCACGATTTGCTCAGCGGTCAGCCCTCATCAATCACATGCGTATCCATACAGAATAGAAGCCGTATGGCTGCTCTATTTTCCCAGCACGGTTCACTAAACGGTAAAGCCTCACTGTATGTACACATGTGTACAGTCACCAGCACTTGCTACTCATCACCCCCGGACGGCGGGGGAGCAAGCCAAGATACCTATAAGAAACAGGTAGGTCGGATGTTTTGAGTAACGCCCTGGTGACGTCACAGACATTTCTTATATGGAGAATTTCGCTTATAAGGAAAATATTTTACAAACGAAAATTTGTATTTTGTCAGGAAAAAAAATATAATCTTTCAATTTCATCATGAAACTTATATAATTTAATTACAAAACTTGAAATCCTGTGAGTGTTTGTCCCAACCCCTGTTATACATTTGGTCACGTGACTGCCATGATAAACTTTGCGTTTTGCAATGTTATGACTAAAACAGAAGTAATAAATCTTACAAGTGTATTCTTTATGATGTTTCAGTCAGCAATCGTGTAATTATATTCTTAAATTTTATACAATCTGCTGAAAAGAGGTCACGTGATGTTACCAAATTGTGCTCGGACAGCATCTTCTTGAGCTTCGATTTTGAGTACTATGTGCCTTCATTGAGGCCTAATAATGGACGTTTTTAGTTATAAAATGAAGCAATGAATCTAATGAGGTCAAAATTCAATCATTTTTGAACTTTCAGGCCGGGCTATCCTGGCATGAACTTCGGCCAGTTTGTGTGTTAAGCCTACGGTGAAGGGAAAACTTCACGCCCGGCTGACGTCACAGACCTCGGCTCATAGGTGTCGATTTGTATACTTTTGGGTGTGCCCGGGCACCCCCAATGCTGAATTGGGCACCTCCCAAGGGGCTCTGGGCACCCACAACCAAAATATGGTACTGGCATCACTGTTACGATTCTTTGAACGCATTGTTTTCTCTAATTCATAGGCGCGGGAACGGGGGTGGGGGGCAGTGGGGACAGTTAACCCCCCCCCCCCCCACTCTGGGGCCGTGGGGGCGGTGTCCCCAGCCCCACAGCTTTAAGACGGAATATCGCACTTTTTTGCAAATGTTTTCTTTTTTGATGAAAACGCCAAGGGATGAAAAATAAGTGGCCTAAAACCGGCGAGAGAACTAGGTTTGGGGGTACCCTAGGTTGATTTCAATTATGGTGTGTCTCCCCCCCCCCCCCCAGTCTGAAAGTAGGTAGTTCCCGCGCCCCTGCTTTAATTACCGTACATCAGAATGCGTTGTAAAAAATGGACACAATTTTTGCTTTATTTATACCAGACAGCAGCATTTGGTAG